CTACCCAAAAAAAAAAAAAAAACTGTCAGCTTATTCCAAGAGTTGACCATGAAAATATAAAATTGCCCTCAAGAAATGCATCATCTTCAATCTCCTACTACCACCACAGACCTCGTCCCACCACCTTAAACCTCCTGCAACCACAATAGACCCCATCCACTAAACCAGTCCCCTTCCCCATCCACCACAGACCCCATTTCACCACCACCACTAATCCAGTCTCCCATTTATTTGCTTTTTCATCATCCATCAGAGGACAAGTGTGCTGCAAAAGTTTCAGCTTTTAAATTGCATGTCTCTACCACTTTCTTCTCTTCCCATCATCCCATGTTTCTTTACAGCACCCCATCTTTCAGATAACAATCACCCAAACTCTACAGCTTCTTCAATTGTGAAAGAGAAAAAATGATTTTTACAATATGGGCTTTTTAGTGATTTGCGAAATTTATTTTACTTAGAAGAAACTCTTTCCCAAACTCAAACTTACTATCAGTACGATTTACCGAAACTTGATTACTAAATATGTAAACTTGCTTCTTTACTTGAAACTAACTAACTTTTTGCTTAGGCTTAGCCAAACATCATCTTATTCTATCCATTCTTGTTTCACGCAAACCCATCTTCTATCTCTCTTCACTTAATTATATATCAAATTACATGATTACTACCACAAGCACAAATTCACTTTGTATTGGCCCAAATTCTTTCACAAAATAAATCATCATTTGGAAGATTATTGATTTTGCAAGGAAAATGATAAGGTTTGTAACCTCTCCAGCCATCTTTCTACTAGGTAGGATTTTAGTAGTCCAAGTGCTTATTTGTAGCAAAGAAACTAATTCAACTTGGAACTCTTGATTTTTATACCAGTTAATCTATTGATACTCTATGTTTACCGAGAATGAATCACTCTTGCAAGATAAATGATGAGAAGTAATTGCCTAATTACACCAGGTTTAGCAGATTTAAGTTGCTGCTCTGATCAATGGCATAACAATCTAAGCTCCTGCTCCAAGGGTGCCCAACCAGTTATACACCCACAAACTAAGGTTTAACTTTGTGGAGGTGGGATACAATTAAGGTCATTACAAGTTACAACAACACCTCGTATGACTCGGCACAGAAATATAATATACACGAGACCAATACTAGAAATTAAAAACTAATGCAACTTTACAAATTCAAATTTACACACAAACATCCTTCATCAGCTGAATGGAAAATACACAAATCACCATTTTAACCTGCTAGAAAAAATCTGATCTTAATATACAATATTCCAGGATCAAATTAGAAAGATCAGATCTTTTTGCCTGATTCTTCGGGAAACAACATTTTCTTGAGCAATTATCCCATATATAAAAAGATTATCGTTTCAGTAAAAAAAAAAAAAAAAAAAATATATNGAAGCAACTTAATTGAGTTAATGTTGCTCGTGGTCCAACAATCGTGGATGGCCCAAGCTATGGTTATTAGTGTTATATATATATATATATGTGTGTGTGTGTGTGTGTGTGTGTGTGTGTAATAAAGAAAATTAATTAAGAAAAAATTGGGTAGAAAGCAAAAACCTTAACCCTCTTGGCCTCAGCGGCAAAGCCACTAGCAGCAGATAGAATACCCAAGAACCCTACAACACTGCAAAGTATTATCGCCTGTCTCTCCATTATTCCCTCTCTCTCTGAAAGATGATATAATTGTTGGGACTGACGATTTATCTGTAAAGATTGTTTTTTGTGGGGAGAGAGCGCAGGAACTTTGAGCGATAGCGATAGTTAAAAAAAGTGTGGCCGAGAAGCAAGTAAAATACATATAAAATATTGTTGGCGTCTTCAGTGGTTCTAAACCCGGTCATGTGGTGTTGACTCCAGTAAAAGTAAACGATCATAATTAAAAGGTTCAATTAGGATTAGCTCCAAACAAAAAAGAAAAACCTACCGCTTTTGGCGGTGGATATGATCATAGTAGAGATGACAACGATTCGGTTCG